GTTGTAAGTAGTCCATATCGAACCAAGGAGAACAGACGGTATGCCGAAAATAAGGGCGAGTTTGAACGGTTCCTCAAATCTACGAATAATGAAATGTAAGTACATCCAAAATATCTTTTATTGTTTATATTTAAAAAAAAATAACTTTCTATTATATTATTTAATAGAAGGAATGTCGGCATTCCATATGTGGTGGACAATGGGGTGGTTTAAGGAATTGGTTAATCTGAATGAAATGATGCTTGAGGAGGTATGTATATGTTTGTCTTGTAATATCTTAACATATAAAAATGAATTGATGGATGATGTTTGGCTTGATTTTATAAAACAACACGTGAATGCATACTTGGGGATTATGCAAAGCAATCCACTCTTTTTGGACTTGGAGCCACGGGAAAATATGTTGGGCACTTACACCATCGTGCCGACTACGTTTTTTGTGAGATTATTTTAATCCTTTCTCTTTTCCTTGTCATTCCATTTTATTTATAATTGTATTAATAACATTATTATTTATTATTTTGTTGTATTTTATATAGATGATGCTGGATGAATTGGAGAAGGAGATGGATAAGGGGGGAGTGGACCTGCAACCGGAGGCCCTCCGATCTTTGATTCGCATTGCGAGTGAGGGGGTCAGCGGTTGGGGGAATCCGTGTCCTTGGAGGGGGATTCAATATGTAAGTTTTCAATGATTCCGAATTAATTAATATTGCAATCTTTCTTAAAAAATTAGTGAATTTCTCACAACTCAATGCAACAGATTATTGGAGTAGTGAATTTGTCCAACCACTACGTGACTGTGAAGATCTCTTTACTCAAGGGGACGATAAGTGTGTTTGACCATCTACGTTATACGTATTTAGAAAAGAAGAACGAGCACATTCGCGAAAATCGCGTCAAAGGACTCCAAAAAATCCAAAATCTAATTCCAGTGATTGCGACGTATGCGGAAGTAGAGGGAGTGAGCAAAAAGTTCGAACTGGAATTCAAAGACCCCAATAATACTATCTTGCAACATGATAGAATTAATTGTGGTGTATGCGTTGTAGAGATGGTACAAACATTGCTCACGAGGAAGATGCGTTTCAAGAAGTCTAACAAGTTGTTGGCTAAAGCAATGAGGCACAAAATTGCTCTACAAATTTTTCAGTTTAGTACAGAACCAGACACAATTACCGACTCAGTTCTTTAATGATTCATGTAATACATTTTTATTATTTTTTTTTTTTTTTTGCATTTTAATATAATTTTGTTGTTTGTTTTATGTATGTGACATTTCTCATACCTGAAAGATAAAAATTAAACTAAATTAAACGATGAAAGGTGAAAGAAATAAAAAATAAACTTTCGTTTAGAAGTGCGAAGGTGGTATGCGAGCAATATGCGGCAATTCGCATACACCATCTCATAACTGAAATAACTGAAAGATGAAAGAAATATAAATAAACTTTCAAATAGAAGTGCGAAGGTGGTATGCGAGCAATATGCGGCAATTCGCATACCCCATCGCATAACTGAAATAACTGAAAGATGAAAGAAATAAAAAATAAACTTTCGAGTAGAAGTGCGAAGGTGGTATGCGAGCAATATGCGGAAATTCGCATACCCCATTGCATAACTGAAATAACTGAAAAATGAAAGAAATAAAAAATAAATTTTCGAATAGAAGTGCGTAGGTGGCATGCGAGCAATATGCGGAAATCCGCATACCCCATCGCATAACTGAAAGATGAAAGAAATAAAAAAATAAAAATAAAAAATAAAAAAAAAAACTTTAGAGTACAAGTGCGAATGTGGTATGCAAGCAATATGCAGAAATTCGCATACTCCATCGCATAACTGAAATAACTGAAAGAAATAAAAAATAAACTTTAGAATAGAAGTGCGAAGGTGGTATACGAGCAATATGCGGAAATTCACATACCCCATCGCATAACTGAAATAACTGAAAGATTAAAGAAATAAAAAATAAACTTTTGAGTAGAAGTGCGAAGGTGGTATGCGAGCAATATGCGTAAATTCGCATACCCCTCGCATAACTGAAAGATGAAAGAAACACGAAAAAACTTATTATGCACCAACTCTGCAAATAATATGCGACGTTGGTATGTCGCAGTTGTGTCGCAGAATAATTTTTTCGACTAATAGTCGCAGATTCATTCGCCTAACAAGAATAATTATTTAATGGGCGACGGACCGCGATTGACCGAATCGTACATCGAATCTCCGCATATTCATCGTAGAACAGTCGCATACTTTAACTCATAATTTTCTCGCCCATGCTCATACCTGTCGCCTATTTATCGCATAGTTCATCGCATATGTCTTCGTACTTTTTGAGGTGAAAAACTTAGCTTTTTATTGGGTAGTATGAAAAACTTAGTATGACTTCAAAACGAGGTGAAAATAGCTATTTCCTCTTTATAATATGTGGGGAAAGTTTCAATTTGATGAATTCTAAATTCACATCTCTCTTGTAAGTTGTAAGTTAATCGAGAATATAGCTAGTCAAGCACAAGCTTTATCGAGCTGGGCTTTATTTTTTATTTACTATTGCTCAACCTCGACGAACCAAACATTTTAAGACTCGACTTGACAAAAAATAAATAAATAAATAAATGCAAATGCTCGAGATCAACTCGAAATTTCTATAAAAACGTGCATTTGGGTGTAGTTAGGTAATTTATGTATAATTGAGCTAGCTGTCAAACACTTAAATTTACAACTATAGGAGCTCGAGCTCGAGTCAGGTGTTGACTCAAACTATCGCGAGCCTCTCCCAAACCTACAGTGAATATCGACCGATTCAAATGTGTCACATAAAGAAAAATTTTGATCTACCACATCATATGGTGGTGATGCTATGCGTATATCTGATCGTTTTGGAGTGTACAAGATCAGGTGAAGGCCACACGACCATGTACTGGTTTAAATTGACATCCATTTTTTTCTACTAAATCTAAATATAAAGACCTCATTCTATACATGCCAAACAAGGAAATGTAACTTTGATAAGAGAAGTTAAATGTAAACAACAAAATGAAACACACATTTATTGGCTACCCAAATAACCAGTGGACTGGCTTACATTTCTGTACACACACATCCACTGTTGCTATGTTTACATTTACTCTATAAATAACTCAGGCATTAGCAAAGGTCCTATGCACTCGACTAACTCAATCGCCGAAAACAAATGAAGTACAATAAAGCAACAACATAAAAATGAAAAAAGGAAAGCCTCAAATTCACAGCAAACCCAAGACCAAAAAGAATTTCCAGAAAAAAAAAAAAAAAAATGCTATGCACTCAGACGGCCTTCTGACTTGATATCAACCTGCAGAGTGCAATTACTGGCGTTTGGCTCGCCGGCCAAACTTAAAGAAAATGCATCAAACCGATGTGGTTTGGTGCAAATTTATCTGAATGTGTATATAAAGAAGCATCCTGGGAGCAAAAGCAGCTAATAAAAACGGGCTGGTGTTGGCCCCACACACTTCAGAGATTGTTTCTATATGCCGCTAATATAATGCGCCTTTGCATTTGGCAAATATACAAAGAGAGACGCGTACAGATGTGCAAGTCAACCTTTTTTGTCTTGTCTGCAAACTTAAGTTTGGGATGCTTTAGATAAATTGAACCGTCTTGCAACAATTTTCAGAATAACTGAAGCGACATTTTGAGCTTGTTCTGTTTCCATTTGGGCAACTTGTAGAAAGTGTCCTTTGTCATCCCGAATTTCTCCTTGAATTCGGCCGAGGACAAATAAGTCTGCAGAAACATGTCTAAATTTTAGACAACCTTCGAAAAACATAAAGACCTTTACTAAAAAAGATTGTGAACATACTTGCAAGGTTTAGGACAATATAGAACAACAATAGCAGAGGAAAAGAAAAGGAAAGGTAATCTATCAAAATTACATAAACCAACTTGACATATGCTCCTAATTTCCTAATTGCATTGAAGGGAAAATTTAAAAAGTAAAAGGCAAACTTAAGGGGAAATTGTAACGTTTAAAGTGGTAGCTGGACTTTCTTGTTATTAATCTAATTTCACAAGAAATATTCCTTGAAAAAACTTGAAATACAGTACCTCTCGCTTAGTGACATCAATATCCGAAACTGGATCAGACGACGTCGTTTTAAGACGATCATACGGGTATACAGGGAGACCTTCATCATCGTCAGCTTCACTTTCCTTTACATCTTCTTGTATTGGCTCGGGCTTTGGCGGCTTCAGTACATCTACTGAGTTTTGCCGAGATACTGCCTCAGATTTTGGCCTGGGTATCTCAGGGCTCACTGTTAACACAACAATAAATATTTCAAGGGTCATTTGGAAAACCATTGTTCGTTGGTTGTAGGATTAAAAAAAAATGCATAAACCTTGCAGTTTAGCCTAATTACAAAAATATCCAGCCAACATTCAAAAAATATATATACAACTCTTGACATTTGTTCCCATTGAAAAAACTATATCCAGCCTACAAGAGTAATTAACTGGTTTTTTATTTTTTTTTATTTTTTTGGCCTAAAACCCGGGGGTTATCTTTAATCATCGATAAAACTTATACATTATACACCTTTAGGAGATGGAGAACGGGGAATCATGAGTTGCCGAGCAGGTGGGGGTTGTTCAAAAGTTGAACTTAGGGCTGCTATAGCTGAAGATTTTGAAGCCAGATTTGCAGAATCAGGCGTGACAGATTTCGGATAGACCTTTCTCACCATTGGAGGAGGAGTTGACAGATTTCTTGCGTTGGGATTCTCAAAATTAGCGGCTAGAGCATTAAAGGCTGGAGAACGACCTCTAACACGAACTCGGTCAGGGCTAAAGGACATGCTTCTAGAACGTTGAGATTTTTCTGGCAAGGCAGATCTTCCAGTATGTGTGATGGGCGTTCTCCTTTTGGGTTTCTATACGTGACATGCATACAAGGAAGAATAATAATAAGAAATAAAACCACCAACCAACTATAAAACAGTAGTTGTAACAATAATAGTAACTTAAAAAATATCATAAGCAGTATCATCTATGGAGTACGTAAAGAAATTTCCTAAGGAATGACACTTTCTTAAAATCTAGAAGTCATTTCAGTCTTTGCTATGAACACAGCTGAGTAGGTTAAAAAAAACTAATTATGCAAGTAATTTAATAATTACTGAAGACGATCTGAGCCTCCACTTGTCTATTATCCACGACTTTAGGCCCTTATAGCTCATTAAAGATTTTGTAAATCAATTAAGATTTCAAAGACAGAATGTCCAACCATTTAGGAACAAACTTATTTCGAGATTTGAAATGGGTAACACATTTTTCTTCCCTGCCATCTTTTCAGCCTGAGCTGCTTCTTTGAGTTAGCCCTATTACGCCTCAACTAATAACGTAGAGACTGGACTTCTGCTCCCTTGCCTGCCTCTTTAAAATGTTATACCAGCATACTTAGTTCCAGAAATCTTTACATTATCATTGCAATTCAAGAGATTTAATTTAATCTATCAAATAAAAATGCAGTAACTTTACTAACCATTTTCTAAATTAGAGAAGAGTTTTTTACCCTACCTGGTCGCTTCAGCAAAACAGAAACCAACTAGATTTGTCAGGCATACAATAGAACTTTCAACTAAAAATGCAGCAACTTTATGAAGAATTTTCTGAATCGAGAAGAGTTTTTTACACTACATCGTCACTTCAGTAAAAAAAGGAACCCACTGGGTTTATCATGCATAGAATAGATT